GGATATAGCTCGCTAGCAGCCTTGCACCGAGGACCTATCCACGTCATCATTTACCCAGAATGCTTTGTGTGTAAATAAAATGGCTCTGTCCGTGTTAAAATATGTTTTTTAAAATTATAAAAACTAAACATCCTACAGTATTTTTACAGTCTTTATTTTACAGTTAAAATATATATTTATAAAACAAAGTCCAATGTTACAACTAATCAGGGATCCCTTTAAAAAAATAAAACTAAGAAAACCTGGGAACACCTGTGCTATATACCCTTTGACTCTGTAGTAATCTGACACAATTTGTTGTTAATGTGACCTCAGTGATGGATCCAGCTTCCTGCCTGCTTAATTTGATCACTCAGAGTGGGGATTGTGAGCTCAAATTAATATTATGTGGTAAAGCAGGTTCCCGTGGGAAATTCTGGATTACAGCAGATATGGTTTTATAAACCTTTCTGCTGTGAGTGGCCGTAATGATTTTCTGCTGCCGTGACGGATTATTCTGTTCCACTTCAAAGAGCCACAGTAGATGAAAGACAAAAATAAACAATTGTTTAATGAACTGGGTAATAGAAGCTGTTGGATCATCTGTAAGTTATTAAATTTCACATGAGTTGTTATTTCTTCCTGTATGGCACCTAATAATTCCTCTTGGAGGGAATGTAAACAGTTGTTTAGTTTCCCAGGCTGTGAARAGGCAGACTGGCACAGCTGGCATTCGCTAAACAGAAACCAGATCCCTGTTCTGTTATCAGTCTTACATTTATCTCCTCCTGTCTGCCTCTCTTTCCCATCTCATCTGTAACAACATATTTTACTGTCATCGTTTAACTCCCCTTTTTAGGGTTTGTTTTAAATTATATTTCAGTATGACATTTATTACTTTAACAGTTATGAATCCCATTTGAACATAATGACTACAGCCACACATACAGCGCTCTGAGGCTGAACTTTAGCTAAATATTTAACCACGAAATGTTGAAAACTAACAAATATCCTTTAGGATCACAGGTTTATTTTGTGCAGTTGATTTAARAGAAAAATCTGTCAAAGACTTTGGGAAACCACAAACCTAATCACAAAACTTCTTAGGAAAGTGTTGACTGATTATGCCTGGAGCGACTTTGCTCTTGTATCTTTTGTTTAGGGTGTAGTTTTATGGTTGTAAATGTAATTGTATGGTTAAAGTCGTGGGAAAGCCTTCATTTTCCTCCTCAGAGGCCGTTCACTGCAGATTTAAGCTTTGTTTGGGATCAGATTCCAGTTCCAGATGCAAACAGATTATTTTTCTATGCTTCCTGTTTAGTCTTTGTTTTCATTGTTTTTTTCTTTATTAATGAAACGTTTCCCTGGGCTACTGGCTGCAACACAAACACAAAGCATGATAAACCCCTCCCATGCCCAACACTTGAGTCGCCCGTCTTTGCTCATTGTGACTAAATCTCTTTGATGCTGAGCAGAACAGACTCTCTGTGATGACTGTACATTACTTATAGTATTTTTGAGCAATCCATTGAGTTGTTTCCTATATTTTAACAAGAAAATCTTGATAAAATACTTTACAATCTCTAATCTGCTTCGAATGATTTAAAACTCACAGCACTAGGCAGCTGCTATAAACAGTGAACGGATATCACAAGTTTATTTATCTTTACATTGATTGAGTCACACAGATTTTGCTGATGCATTTATGCCAGAGGAGCCCAAAGTGGGGCCCGCGGGCCAAATTTGGCCCGCCAAGCCATTTGATTTGGCCCACCAACAGTTGCCAAAGTTACAAGGTTGTAACCTGTTATCCTATAGGTAGAAACACAGTATTTCCATTGGTCAAATGACTATACAAAWGGGCTGTGGTTCAGGTAGTTTTCAGTCATGGTGCTGGCATGTCTTAGATTTATTAGGATTAAACATGAAACATGAAATGACAACAAGAAATATTTAGATCAGATTTAACCCCGCATGTAGATTTGCACACTTTATGAGGACACAAAAACTCATATTTTATCAATTTATAAAATGTCCCATGAGCCTTTGCTACTTGAGTGTAGGGCAGCCTTTCTCCAAGTGCACAAACTAAAACAAAAGAGGGCCATTGCAAAGCTTCATCATTAAAAATAAAGGACTTCACTTTAAAAAGTATTTGTATTTCATGTATTATCTTACTGCATTTGGCCCGCAGCCCTGGATAGATTTTCATTTTGGCCCCCTCGGGGAAAATGTTTGGGCACCCCTGATTTATGCTTTATTTATTTATTTAGCCAGTTTAGTTTTTGAGCTCAGATATATCTGAATATCTCTCAAATGTGGTTCAGTTTTGAGTCAGAGCTACCGAACCAGATCTTTATCAAAATAGAAAACGCATTACACGTATATATAAATATCTATTAATATTCAGCAAATACTGCTATCCACTGCTGCAGAGAAGTTTTTATTTTTTATTTTTTAAAGATCTTGAGTTTTCTCTTCATCTTTTGTAGTATGGTTTGTGTTGTTGAGCTCAGACATGAGGGACTCGGAGGTGATGATGTGTGAGTTACTATTCATCCATGACTCTGGGGTGTGTTAAACATTACATACTGTTGGCACAGGGAGACAAATATTTACACCCACCCACCCATTATCAGTCTGCTTGTCTACTCTTATAAACACTGTGTTTGAAGTAGTTTTTTTTAACATAGTCTATGTTAGATGTTTAAACAGACAAGTTGTACTGTTTTATTTTTGTTTTTACCTGAGAATTTGTCGTTTCAGATCTTTTTCACAGAAGTACTCAGTGTTTTACAAGAATAGGAGCAAATTCCTGGCAGTAAACTGATGCTGCTATCTTTACATCTCCACTTGAGTCCTTACTGTTTTTTTCTTTACAACTCCAAAGCTTTTACCCTCCGCCCCCAACCAAAGACTTCCTAGAAAAGTGCCCATTATCAAAAGGTTTGAAACTAAACACCACACGGTTACCTGCTTATTTTAAAAAACATCACCTATGAAAACAAGAAAACTAACACATCCAGCCTTAGTTGTGCTTAAATGGTGTTGGTAAAATTTACTTTATTTTTGTGAGCAAATAAATAAAATGAATTCTCATTTTATTTGAGGAAAATAAAACCTGTTTTTAAAGATTTTATCTTAAGTTTGTAAATCACTGCCCTACTCATATTGAATGTCCCACAGCCAAATAAGTTTTTAATTACGTCATTATTATTATTATTATTATGCTGTACTTAGAAAAACACATAAATGTTTAGACATTAAGCACATTTAATAATGACAGATACAACTGAAGTGGGTATTTTATGATGTACTGAGCTGCTTTGTTGCCTGAAGTTTTCCACTTTGGTGAACTTGATTTATCTTTTAACCTTTTTACCTTTAAAGATCAGCATAAATATGTTAATTCATGACTAAAATCATTTAACGCAGAATGAATAGCCTGTAGCCTTATAGCAGGGGTATCCAGTCCCGKTCCTGGAGGGATGATAGTCTGCATGTTTTAGACATTTCTCTGCTCCAACACATTGGTTTGAATGAACGGTGATTAAACAGGTTCTGCAGAACTTCATGAGGTGATTCCATCACTGAATCAGGTGTGCAAGAGCAGGGAAACAARTCAAACATGCAGAAAGGAGGAAACTCCTGCCTCAGAGTTTTGAGTGTTTAAAGCTGTATGTTTATTTTCCTTTAATTTGATTGGATTACAGCCAGATAAACCTTGGTCAAAAGTATTACCCCCCACTGTTACGCCACTGGAACAAATCGAACAAAAGTAAGTCACCCAATCTATTTTACTACTATGCATAACCTTGATTTCTCTCCTTGCGTGTTAGTCCCTTTCCTATTAGATGAGAGTAGAGGAGATAAAGACAGAGTGACAGGAGGTGACAGGAGACAAGGAAGGCAGTATATTTCACAAATATCTGCATTTAAAATCCATTCATTAAAGCTAAACAGTAGACCCATGTCCCCTATTACTGAGGGATTTGAGTATTGAATGTTTGTAGCTTTTGAAATTAGGGTGTAGGAGTTGCACTTTGTATAAGAAGCAATTTTATCCACCACCAGGTCAGGTGCAMTGGTAGAGCCAGTGGTGGTCTTAACCATAGATTCATTTTTGGCCACCCAACTAGTTACCCCAATCATTTGAGGAAACAATCTTTTTACGCAATGTAACAAGTACAAAGCGTAGTTTCCCCCAAAYGACCAGGTGGCYAGTTTGGTGTGGYGGTGGCCATCTTGGATTTTGACGTGGCAACCCAATTTTTGATAGGGTCATTTTTCACAGCCAAACACCAAAGTGGAAGTTGGTAACTCACTTATATTTTCCAAGTTATCCAGCTCACARTATGGACTGACGGAGGACAGCATTTCTAATTTTCTACTTTGTTCTGTGATGGGGGACAATAAACACCCGACTGTTGCATCATTCAAACATTACTTTGYATCAGCTGTAGCTGTGTTTTACTTCAACCAATAATAAAGGTAATAAGTTTGTAATATATTTTGATTTTTAATTCAGTTTCTTACAAAGCATTAATGTAAAGATTTCTGCAAATGATCTCTCTTCTCTTCCTACATTTTAGGAATTGGACCAGACTTCAAAATGTTTAATTGATATCAGTGTCTGGGCCAGGAAGATAGACAAGAGAGGAATCGAGCAGCAAGTTAGTCACGAGTCTGTAGATTCATATCTTTGGGACTGTAGATTTGTGAGAAACTCAGATCATTCAGTAAAAATTAAGATACGTCTGGCAGGTTGGCTGACTGACTTAACAGACCTAGAGCCAAACCACTAGGGTGTCTTTGGTATTATACATAATTATGATTAAGTGATAAATTTAAGTTTGATCAATCCTACCCGGAGCTAYGATTAATCTTATTTTTGCATTAAAATTTGGGAACTTTTAGGTATTATGCAAGGAACATTACTGGGCCCTGCCCTGRTATAATTTATAATATGTGTGAAAAGAAGCTAACATTTCATTTTCCTGTTAAGATGGTACAGTGTTGAAACCTATTGTTTCTGCTCTGAAACAGTGGCAAATRTGCCCAAACCTCTGCCTTAGTGTTTATTGTAAACTTCTAGTGTCGAAACACAATTCTGGTAAGATCTTTAGTAATTTGAAATTTTTCAATCCAGACTCCTTCAGCACATTTGTCTGTTTCACCACATCAGCTTTTTGCCTCGTGTTTCAAAACAACAGATTGCKTTTTACCTTCAGCCCTGCTGTGCACACCATAGCTGATCAGCGTTTGCTGAAATTGGACTCTTTCATTTGCTTAGTAGCCGCCTTGGAGTTCCTTGACCTCAAACACTCAAAAATGTTGATCTTGGAGAGTTTTCTTGATTTGTGCACGTCTTACTTGAGTTGGATTGGTGGATACCGATGTATACAGAGATTGTTTTATAAGCTTTTTTTTTTAGCAACTATCACCCCTATTTTTTTCTGATCTCCTAATGAAATTTCTTTATTCTAGCATCCTACAGCCAATATGTCTAAACTAAATAGATGTAGTTCTAAAATACCATTTAGAGTGTTCTATTTTGTCTTTGCCTAACAAATTTAAAGGTCATCAATGCCAGTGTGTTTTGAACTTTTCTGCCTTTGACCCACAAAATAAAGGCCTCAACCTTTGCTGGTTGGCTTATACAAACATTGCTACAAAGGCCTTTAACGTGGAGCCTTGTAAGCCCTTTGATTATTGTTTTTATCCATTCATGATGACTGTTTTTGTTTCCTTGCTAAATCATGAGCAAAGCTAAGTATGCGCTTAGTAATTGTTTTTTACAGTTAATTTTATTTTCTTTGGAACTTCTCAAGACCCCTTGCTTGGTATGTCGTGACTCACAGTGGGGTCCTGACCTCAACTTTGGAAACCACTGATCTGGCTTTAAAAGTTCCAGATGAATTTTTGCGTAATGGCTGCTTTGTGTGTTGTAATTTATCTGGTAGAGGTTTTGATGTCAGTGATATTTCCAAAGTAAATAAAGCTTATCTGCCTATGATTACATCATTCGTACAAAAGGTATTTGATCATTTTACCCACTTATGATGATTGCAGAAGAGGTTAAAAACAGTGCAGCTTTCGGATTTAAATCGTTCAGGACAAAGCATRGGATTTCTACTATTGGAATAACTTTGTTGTGTCTACTTGTCCTGCTATGAGTTAGCTCAGCTGCATTCATCAGGTCTCTTTCATTCAGATTTTTTTTTAATTTCTCACCAGTAAATTGTGGATAATAAAAAGTTTGACCAATTGACATAAATGAAACAAAAAAAATTTAGGCTTAGCCTGAAATTCTGCAGATGCTAAATAGAGAAATGAGACGTCTTACCTCAGTTCCCATCCCTCCAGTTTGATAATTGTCTGAATAGTCTTGTCCTGAGCACAAACTGCTGATATTAAGCATCCATAGGAGCACAGCTGGTATCCACATAGTGAGGGGATGCAGAGGGGGGAGATGAAGATATCAGGCCAGATTGGGAGGAAGTCTGTATTCAGAGTTTGATGTGAAGACAAGAAGGTATTGGAGGAGTCGGAGGTGCAGAAGAGGAAAGGAGCAGGAAGGTTATCACAGATTGGGCAGASTCCTCATTCTATCCTGGAACAAAGTTGCTCTTCCGACGCAGGTTGTTTGAATCGGGGACATGACCTGAATAAATCATGATGAGGAAAGCGACACCTCTTCCTCGTGTCAATCACAACTCCTTTTCTCCTCAGAGGAGCGTTGTCTTCTTGCCTTGCTGCTCCTCCATACTTTGATGTCAGGTGTCTCTGTTTGGATTTAGACCTCACTTTGTATTTATATCCTCCATGGCCTTCAACTCGGATGATCCCTTTAGGTATCTCTCTTCCTCTCCAGCCTTGGTCGTCTTCGTCACTCTCCTCTCCTCGTCCTTCGCACTCGTGCACCTCCTGGCTTTCTTTATCTTTGTCTCTCGCAGAGCAGCTGTGCAGATTATTGCTGCCCTTTTTATTTGCCTCCTGTTTCCCTTTTTTCAAAACCTCCAGGGCAAAGCTCTCTTTTCTCTTCGTTTSGTCCTTTTTTTCAGCTTTCTAAATCTGTCACAACTTTTCTGAGAGGCTGTCTGATCCATGAAAGAATATTTCCAGTCCTGTTTCCAGATTGAGTTTTTACTGGAATTGCAGTGCTGGGTTCTTGTCCAAACAGAGTGTGTGTTCGTCCTGCTGCTCACAGGCGTCTTGCTGGAGTGAATGAAGAAAAGAAAAAAAAACAAGAATGGAAGGCTTGTAACTTGTGGGCGGAGAGAGACAGCTTGTGTGTTTCAGCTGATAGAGTAGCTCCTTATTGTGGTTCCTCTGAAAAATGGGTGCAAAGGCATGCAACTTTTGAACATTTTCAACACATTTTCCTCTTTGTAGATGACTTGGCTTTCATCAAGTAGCTTTATTTTGCTGTTCATATTCAGATTATTGCACTCAGAGGAAAAGCCTGAACTGTCATTCAGAAAACTGCTTTAGGATATTGTTTTCCCTACATCAAGGGTAGTGTCTTATTCAGTTTTCAAAAAACATGCATTTTGATAAATTTAGATTCAGCAATTTTAGTTGCATATCTTTGCAGTTGGATCAAGACAAAGACGAATGTACAGAATTACTCTCACACCTGCAACTCAGAGCCTTTTTCTGCCTTTCCCCGTCACACTTCATCTGGCTCCATCTTTGTCTTCTTCCCTTCCCCCCTCTCACTTTCTCTCTTGTTCTTTCTTCTTTTTGTTCATTCACAGTCCTAAAAAAGACTTACTTCACATACCTTCTTAACTATTCCGCCCCAAGGCTGCAAGCATTTGTGCTGGTGTATTACATGGGAGGAGGAGGGGAGGAGGAGCAGCAGCAGCAGCAGAAGGAGCTTACATCTTTGTATAAATTGTCTAAAAAAATCCTCCCAGGTCTAAGCAGTTACCAACAAATGTAAAATAAATCATGGGGTGCAGGCAGGCAGGCAGACAGGCAGGGTAAAGAAGAGGCAGAGGGAAGGATGACAAGGAGGAGTAAGGAGGGCGAGAGGAGGTGTGTCTGGGAAACACTTGAATGAGAAAACATCCGATTTCTTGGCCAGTCACAGCAGCCTTTTCAAGGTTTAAAGACACACACATGCATGCACGTACGGTGGCAAGTGTCTGCTTGCAGCGTGCTTTATGTTGAAATCGGCTCAAGCAAAAATCCACATTCCTCTCATTGCTTTCTCCATTTCATCATATGAACTCAGATTGTGGAGTTCAAGATGACTAGAAGTTTTGAAGTTTTAAAGATGTTGCATATTATTTTAACACTCAGAATATGTGTAAGGGATGATGTTCAGGACAACATGGCAAATAAAAAAAGGAACATTTTTTGTGATTGCAAGCTGAATGTARGTTACTAATGGAATTAAAGGCCTAGCATTCTTTGAAGGATTGTACACWGCCTGGCCAATAAAAGGTCACCACCTGGATTTAACTAAGCAAATAGTAACAGTCTCCCATTGGACAATTACTGAATGGGTGATTATGTTAATATCAGGTTAAGAACTGAGCAATGAAGGTCATGTGGTCTGATGAGTCCCCATTTAACCTGTTYCAGAGGGTTGAACCCATCTACAAGCCTGTGGGGGCACTTGGTCGGGTCCAGGTTATTAGGTCTCTTCCCTGATGACATGGACATGTTCAAGATGACAAAGCCAGGATTCATCAGGCTCAAACTGTGAAAGAGTGGTTTAGGGAGCATGAGACCACACATGAACCCCACTGAGAATCATTGGGATCTGCTGCAGTGGTCCAAATCTACTGTCATCAATACAAAATCTTGGCAAAAAATAAATGTTGTGACATTGCTTGTGGAAACGATGATGCAGCGAATCAAACCTAAAGGTGGTCCAACTAAACATTAGTGAGAGATGTCCTGATCCATCTMAGTAAYCCAGGKAGAAAAATCTAAAGGAAAAAAATAAGTAGGTCTTCYAGACGGGTTTTTCTTTGATKAAATGTTTCATCTCTYCTCCAAGAGACTTCTTCAGTCTGAGGAGTTTCAGGTGAACTCAGCCTTGTAAGYACTGCCTCCACATGGTGGAYAAACAGGTTAGTCACATGCAAAAGAGGACCATCGCCTAACAAGAKGTCGTTAGTGCCTTGATTAACTCTATTGTTCATAGAGGGTCATGTGCYCCATCACCTGACCATCATTGGGGCTCTGATTACCACTTATTGCTCACAGGGGGCAGAGTCATACTTGCAATGACAGCGTTGTAGGCGGAAGACAAATGGACACGAAGGCCTCCACCTCTGTTTAATGGTGGACGGTTTTCTTTCACAAAGATGGCTTCCTTTACYCCTCTCTCAAACCARCGTTCCTCTCTATCAAGGATTAGAACATCTTCATCCCTGAAAGAGTGACCGTTGGCCTGTAGATGAGTGTAAACTGCAGAGTTCTGGCCTGATGATGTAGCTCGTCTGTGCTGGCTCATTCTTTTTAACAGTGGCTGCTTTGTTTCCCAGATGTATAACTGATCAGTCCTGAACAGTCCTCCTGACACTTAACAGCATACACAATATTACTCTGTGCTGGGGAACTGGATCTTTAGAGTGAACCAATCTTTGCCGTAATGTGTTTTGGGGTTTGAAAGCCACTGGGACGTCATGTTTAAAGAATAAACGTCTCAGTTTCTCTGAAACTCCCACCACATACGGAATGACGACTGGTTTGGGTCTGGGTTTAGGGTYTTCATTTTCACCTGGTTGTTGGCTGGAATCCTGTYTGGGTTTCTTGTCTGCTTTCAGAAAAGCCCAGTCAGGATAACCGCACTGCTCCAGTGCCTGTCTTGTGTGTGACTTCTCTTTCTCGTTAGCTCCTGTGTTTGTRGGGACATTCTCTGCTCTGTGGTACAGAGGTCTGATGACTCCTAACTTGTGATCCAGTGGGTGATGAGAATCAAAACGCAAATACTGGTCTGTATGGGTGGGTTTGCGATGCATGGCCGTTTCCAACCGTCCACCATCAGAAACATTAGTGAGAGACATTTCTTTTAGCTGGGCAGTAGAGGCGCACGAAAAGTTGACCAGCCGATTTTTTTTTTTAGATCAGTGGAAATGATCGGCTTCTCTCCACAAAGGTCTGAAAATCAGCCCGTCCCCATTTGCTCTGCTGTTAGCGTTACCAAATGTCCAGTTAAAACAAGTTTGTACTGTTTTAAGTTGGGCTGTACGATATCAGGAAAACCTGTGATGTGCGATAACAGTGCTTAATGTTGTGATGACGATATGGCTTGCGATAAATGAAAATTTTTTTTTTTTAGTATGTAGCGTTGATGTCTTTCTGCTCTGGGTTCAGAGCAAAAACAAACAAACAACAAAAAAACTACCGTAGTCATTTCCATTCCAGCATATTTTTTTAACATGAAGAGATCCAGCTAATTGACCAAATATGTGAAGGGCTTCATTTGATTGGTGTAATACTTCAAGCTTCAGTCTGAGGGACAAAATGCATGAAGGCAAACTGTTGAGCATTTATTGCAGTTTATGTTGGCTAGTTGTTGCAATATGCATATTGCACAGGAYGTTATCACGATGACGGTAAATTTTCAATGTATTGTGCAAGTCTAGTTTGAAGGGTATTGTTTAATGTTTTTCAAAAAAATAAGATTGAAATATTGAAGGTGTATTGTGATCTTATAACACCCGAAAGTGTTATAAGTGCTTTAGTGTTAGCTCCGACACTATCACCATATATAGCTCAGCGCTACACATTCTCCTCTCATCACTGAGGTCCTCCATCTGCATAACAGAGAGAGGAATGCAAAAATTACTCAGCCTGCAACTGAAAATATGGATGGAGGACTTCGGTTTAGCTTGATAGTTTGTCGCGCTAGCACCGAGCTAATACATATAAGGCAATGCGTCGGTGCTAGCACGAAGGCTAAGCTGAGGTTCTTATTACATGGACTATTTCGCGGATACCGTTTAGCGCCGCTACCGGAAGCAGTGTGCAATGGTTTGTAGGATTGTTTGGGGGCAAACAAAAGAAAGGTAAATGATGGAACAGGTTATAAATGTCTAAAGTTTTGATTGTTGCGTGTATTCAGATGTTTATTTTGGTTCATGAGGTACCAGCTTCTAATCAGAAAAAGGACAAACTTGTCCAGAACCTTTACCTGCTCAAATGTTGGGATTATTGCCTAAAATAGCAAACTGGACATGCAAAATAGAGGTAAGGTTATACTGTTGTGCACTAATATAAAGTAATAATTACTATAGTGTGACATTATATTAAATCTAGTTTTGCCAGAGAAAATCCCAGTATACAGTGATCATATTAACAATGCTGAGCAGTGGGACTGGATGATAAACATTTTCTATATATAATCTTGAGGCAGGCTGACCTATGATTTATTAAATGTTGAGTATGAAACATCCTTCTTGGCCACACATCAAATTTGGCCTAAATATTAATTCAAATACGTGTTTTTGTTGTAACAGTGGTAAATGCATTTGTTATTGTGATCTGCAGCTTTCTGTATTGTGTATGTTATTGTTAATAAATAAACCATATAGAGATGTGGTCAAGTTTTACGATAGTCCATATTTGTAATATTAACTGGTTAAAATGATCTGTATTCAGGAGATATGATATTCAGCCCAGATCGATGTAAACTATGTCAACATATTTAGTGCAACATCTACTAGACCGAGTAGCAACGATTGTGTTTTCATTATTCTATATACAACCCTCGGTAGTGCCAACTCTTTTTGACAGCAGTTGCCAGATCAGCTTTGCAGGTCGGAGCCTTCTTGTGGACCATTTTTTTTTTAAATTTCCACCACAGGTTTTCAACTGGGTTGAGATCTGGGCTATTTACAGGCCATGACATCGACTGAATGTGTCTTTCTCCAAGGAATTCCTTCACTGTTTTTGTCCTATGGTACGATGCATTGTCATCTTGGAAAATTATTTCATCACCTCCAAACATCTGTTCAATTGAAGGGATGAGAAAACTGTTCAAAATGTCAATGTAAACTTGTGCATTGATAGAAGAATTAGTCATCTCCCCAGTGCCTTTGCCTGACATGCAGCCACATATCATGAAGGACTGTAGAAATTTGGTTGTTTTCTTCAGGCAGTCCTCTTCATWAATCTCACTGGAACGGCACCAAACAAAAGTTCCAGCATCATCACCTTGTCCAATGCAGATTCTTGACTCATCACTGAAGATAACTTTCATCCAGTCATCCACAGTCCTTGA